GTTTCTTACATCACACCATGCAGGGCCCTAAGAAATGAATACCTACCAATTGCCTGACTTGCATATGTATCCTGCTAAGAGAAAAGACCTAAATAGCCCAATAAAAGCCACTGATTCTTTGTTGGCACACCATAATAAGGTGTGTGAATTTTATAAGTAATGTTATTCATTCATTTGATAAGACATTCATCCTATAAAGCTGCAACGCAGATCTGGTTTTTTAAAAAACTTTTGTTTCCAAGTGCCTATTACATTGTTATAGAAATGCTTAGTGATCATATATAAGTGATGAATGACAGAGCTACGTGAGGCTTGAGGGACAATTAGTCCATTGAGAACAAAATGAAGGTCAAAGCCATGAAGTTCAAGTCATGAGCAGATTCCCATGCACACCCCTCTCTGGGAAACGCAGCCAGACCCTGCATTCCCCAGCCCCCTTCTCCAGGTTACAAACTTCCTCCTCACTCAAGCCTTCCTTGGAAAACTTGCAGCCCTAACCATATTTAGTCTTTTTGAGGGAAGGGGAGTGGTCAGTCAAAGACTAAAAGGGGGAGGAAAAAAGAATGTATATATACTTACGTAGTTAAGTTTATTCCCAACATATTTGTCTGGGAAAGACATGGTTAGAGATCATGTGATGACAAAACAAAACAAAACCGAATACACTTTCCCTCCACTTGGGTGAACAAGTGGTTCCTTGGCTTAAATCTTAACCTAAACATTATCATGTAAACTTCAGGCACAGTTGTCACACTGTGGAAGTTTTAGTGGCTGCAAGTCCACTGCTGTTAGGAGACCCGGCCATGCTAATCATTGCAAGTTACAGCTCTCTTGTTTTTTTAAAGCGGGTGTCCTTCATCAAGATAACATAAATTTACTGACAAAAGGAAATTTATAAGCAGCGGAGAGGGGAAGCAGGAGGTAGGTGTAAATGGCCCAGGCTGAAGCAGGCTAAAAACAGCACGGCATGCACAGGAGAAAGTCTCCTGGCACTGGAGGCGCCGGGTTTCCAGCTCCCAACCAGCTGCTCCCAGTCAGAAAAGCCCAGGCAGGGCACAGCATAACCCTGTGCTGAGGGTACCTTCTGGGAAAGCCAGAGAAGGCTGAGAAGTGTGTGTGCTATGGAAATAAGAAGCAAAAAGGATGCAGAGGTTGGTTAAAAATAAAACTTATCAGATGAGAATTAAGTACTGAGAATGTTATCTTTCCCCACAGGAGGGTGGAAAAAAAAAATAGGCATGTCAAGGAGAACACAGCCACAGGATGAATAAGCATAAAAATAGGAGGAAATGACTAAGCAAACGTGCCGAACGTGCAAAAAGTGCAGGAGGAGGACCTTGGAGGTGCTGACTTTCCAGGATCGCTAGGCACCACTATGAGGCTGAAACCCCTGGAGAGGTGTAAGAAACTGGCAGCAATATTGTTTCTGAGGGTAAGAGACTTTTTGTTTTCCTTGTCTTTTCAGACTGAATTTTTCTCATGTTGCATGTATTCCCCTTTCAAAAAAATAAATGTCTACAGAAAAGTTCTTGGGAAATGCCTACTTCCCAGCATTTTGTGGCAGGTAATCTGGTGTCCAATAAAATTTTCAAAATCCAGATAGTTGGTGAATATTTAAGTAAGCCTGCCACCCCCATTTGCTACTGCTCCCCCATTGCCACCTGTCCCTGCCCTTTCACTGAGGAGGCTTGCTAGGAGCTGCTCCCCTGCACTCGGGACCATAACATAAACTTGAGCTACTCCCAAAGCCCGCTTCAAAGCATACAAACCACACCCAGACCTCCAATGTCCCATTTCTCCAGAAGCCTTCAAATGACAAATGTTCCTTCTACTCCTTAGTCCCGAGTCACCTTTTACCTCTACATATACCAGGCATCAGTTGTAAGGGACATGCAGTTTTCCTTCAAGACATGGGCACAAAACAAAGACTACTATTAAAGTACTTTAATGACCCAGTATCTGTCCACTCCTAAAATAATTTCATTTGACTGCTCTTAAATGTTTGCAAAATTGCGCCAATAAGGCACAACAGCCATTCCCTGAGATTTTTTTTAAATGGCCTTTATAAATTTTCTGAAGAATTTTGTCACTCGAAAATCTAAGCAGCCACTACTTCTAGAAAAGCCAACATTCCTGAGTGTTAAATTCAAAGACCAATCAAACAAGAAATTTGATCCTTTGTCAACACTCATAGTGTTTCACACTATATAAGAAAGCCAAAAAACTGTGTTTTAAAGAAATTATGATGGTATCTTTTGTAGCCAACCTTGAAAAGGTTAAACAGAGGTAGCCCACTCTAGTGTCACTCAGAGGTGATAAAAGTACTCTACTCCATTATCAGGTGGAAAATCCCCAGATATGTGGTGGAAGTTAACTGAGCCCCCAAAAAAGGTTTCCTTTCCTCCCCATACAGCACATGTGACATAGGAACTTGAAGGTGGCAGCATACATACTAAGTGTCCTGGAGCTGTGGCCTGATGAGAGTTCCAAACTGGGCCTAGAAAACCCAAATGTTTTCCATTGCTCTGATATACCGATGAGAGTGCGCCCCAAACAGCTCATGCCCAGAATGAGCCCAAGAAGCCAATGTTGGATATAACCCAGAGTTCACCCATTCTGAGACTTGCAGAAGATCCCACTTCAAAGTCAAGTTCAACTATGAAGCTAATGTTCTCTGCTTATGTGGTTTATTGAATAAGAGGTGCTCCTTTAGGAAGCTGGGGATGACATCCTTGTTAGCAATCATAACATTCTGTAAAAATATCAAGCAGCAGTATTTATAGCTCTGCCTCTCCCAGCTCCACTCACTCCTTCTCTTTCTATGGCATCTGCTCTGCAGGAAGGAGATACCAAATACCACAAAGACACACGAGCTGCAAGCCTTTGAATCAAATCCTCGTGTGCTACTCCATCACTGTGGAACCTTGGATGAGCCACCTAAGCACTGTTTCCTTAGCTGTGAAAGAGGAAGAGCTGTCACCCAGTAGTCACAAAGAATAAACATGTGAGAACACGTAGCACAGACCCAGCATATGTCTTCTCTGAGTACTGAGTCAACTTATCCATTGTTCCCAGCTTCTGTACATCATGACTCTTTAACCTCTAACCCTCACCTTGCAATCTTGCAAATGTAAAGGAGATAAACCATGTTCAATTCAGCATCTCAAGGGAACTAACTTTTCAGTAGTGAGAAGCTACATGTTAAAAAGCACATCTGGATAGGGATAGATTGGGTAGACTGCATCTTTAGTATAAACTAACATAAAGTACCCAGTGTAAGCTGTATTTTTGAAGTGTATTTCCCTGTTAAGACTCTAACCCACATCTCTAACCAGTACTTTTTATGGCCTTCAAAATGTTCAAAGAGAAGCTAAGTCAATTCTGTATTCTTCCTATTTAAAATAACTTAGTACTAAGAATATGCTTTGTTTGTTCTCATGGCTGATCAAATGCAAAGGTACCTGACATATTACCTCCTGTCTTAAACAAACTGCTGACCCATCATGGCATTTCCCATCATTGCTTTTCTAAAACAACACAGGAAACTTCAAGACTGAATGGCCAAAAGAAATTAGGATGAACTAGTCTCGAAAAACAGAGTTATTTAAAGAAAAACAAAATCATTCCAAATGGATAATTTATGATTCAGACAGCCCAGAATTTAATTGGTATTAACTACTCTACTAAAGATCTATTTAATGCACTTAGGTAAGACTTTATATTTCCATGAAATTGGATCTTTGGTCCAAAATCTAATTTCCTACCAAGGATTCTGCACTATATAGATGATGTAATGGTGAGGTAGGCTCTTAACATTTCATTGCCAGGAATATAAATGAAATTGATCAGATTGTTTGCCAAATAATGTTTCTTCAACAGGGCTGTCTTCCCCCTAAATGGGCTGTCAAACACAGGACCAAAAGGCAGATACTCGGTATTAAAGTTGTATTTTCCAGTTTAATCTTGCAGAACTCAAATTCAGCTATGAAAACAGTGTGCAGGAAAATGATGTGTTGTACAGATTCTTAGTTGAAAAGGCCAATGTGTAGAAGGAATAAGTGAAACCTAAGAGGTCAGATCTCTTGGCAAGTCAAAATATTGACTAAAATGGATAAAAAAACATAAGACATGCCAATGGAACTACATGATATTTCTCCAGAATATTACCACTATCATTTTTATGACATTAGTAATCATGGGAAAAAGTTATTTTATGGAGTATAAAATTCCTAATAAATAAGCTCCCTTTTCTTTCTGAATGTTTCAAAAACTATTGTGTAAGAGGAATGTCCTATCTGAAGCTACTCGTTACTTCTAGTCTCAAAATACAAAAAGGAAGAAGTATTACATGCTCAATTTTTAGATTCATGGTGGTCAATGAATGACTTATTTATTCATAGATAAACCAATATGAAATGGCACTATAATCAAAACTTTCTAAAGCTTTTAGCCTAATGTTTAACTATGATAGGAAAATGTGTGTAAAAATTCTAGCAAGCCCTTTCTGTGAAAGATAAGAAAATAACTCAAACCATTCAATGCTAACAAGAGGCTGAGTTTATTGGACAAGTATTTACTGAGCCCTCACTCTGTACCAGGTACTATTTTAGGTGTTGGAGATATATTGTATTGCTTAAAAATATACAAAGTCCCTGTCTTCATTGTGCTAGAGGAAGGATATAAGGCAATAAACATCATAAATAAGTCAATCACATAGTAAGTTAGGAAGAAGGTAAAAAGAACTAATTTTGTAAAACAAAATAGAGCAGTTGTGAGAATGAATGACAACAGGGCTTATCTGAAAATTTTCCAAAACCATAAAGGGAGATAAGAACTTCTTTATTGGAAAGTCTATATTTCCATACATAACAAAACACTTCTAGCTCTTTATGTTCATAGGATTTTCAAGAAACTGAAGGGATTTTAAAAATATGAAAGTTGAGTTGAAAACTAGGAAGGGAGACGTCCATAAAATAGGTGCTCACTCAATAGAGACCTTGATGTGGTGAAATAAGCCTACAGCAGTAAAGCGCAGTGCAGAACCTCCCAGTTCTAGAAAATCCCATGATTCTAGCCACACTGCCAATCACAGAGGATCTGAAGAGTGAAGTCAGCTGAGGAAAAGCTGATAGGGACAGATGATACAGAAGAACTCAAACAGCTTTGATAATTTTTTAATTTCCACTTCCTTTTTAAAACATAGCACTCTATTTTTGTTGTTGTTGTTGTTAAAGAAAGGCGAGCTTCTTTGAAAGGAATACTGAAAAAATGGGAACACCTACATTTCCAACTCCATCTTCCCTCTCAAAGTTTTCAAGATGCACGTTTATTGTATACCAGCAGACCTGGAGTTTTCCACTGTTTTTCACTTTAGCCTGACACTAAACTATCAGGTAGTTTTCTGTCCTTTGATTTAAATTCAAATTCCAACAAAGCAACCAGAACAACTAATATCTAGTTTTAGCCTCTGAGTAATTAGTCTCCCAGTAAAAAGTGAACATAAAGAATAGGTGGTGGTGTCGTTCTCAATCAGAAAATCATTTTAGCAAAATATGCCTGAGGCAGAAAGTCCAAGTGGTGGGAAAAGAAAAAGAGTGCCTACCCCATGGGACACTTATAACTCAATCACTATGACAGCAGCCCTTTCTAGAGGTAATAACGTTGTTATGTTGTGGTAATTCTCCAGAAACCCCAACAGCCCCTGGTTTAACAGTATCTGGAAATTGTTCAGATGACACAAATTTCAGTTTTCTGCTGTTCAGGCTTCAATAATGCCTTTGTCCTCTGTCACCACTTTTTTTTCTTTTTTTCTTTGCAAACTCCTCCTTTCGAATCAGGAAGAATACATAAAGTGCAGGTAAGGTTCGCTCCTGTGCTCCTGGGCTCTTGCTTTGATAGCCAATATCAGCAAATCTATCCTTAAACCAATGACCGACGAAGATGTCTGCAGGCATTTCTGGAGTTAGCAAGTGAGCTCATGTCTGGCAAAGAGAGTGTCTGGAGGTCAATGCAGTCCTGGCAAGAAAACAAGAAGTACCACACACAATACAGGGATGTGAATGATGCAAGCAGTAGGGAGTAATTCATGGTCACTGAAGAGGCCATCTTTGCATCTCAACTCTTACAGAGAATTCAGCTGATCCCGAAATGAAGGAGGCCATCAGATTTCAGTGCACACTCAGTCTTCAGTGAGGGCAGATTCAGTTTTCCCTGGATTGGTAACAGAAAAGAGAAATGAAGAGGACAGGGAGTCAAATCTGGTGAATTTGATGTCACAGATATAATACTCCAGTAAACACTTCTCATTTTATAAAGTAAATTAAGCCTCTCAGTAGAGCTTCATAAAAATGTCCTCTTTGGTATTTGTTAGGTGTACAGTCCCATTGGGTCACGAGCTAGGCAATGTTATAAACAATGCTTCACTGCAAGATTTTTTGTTGTTTTCTTTTTTATTTTTTTGCAATGCTGGAGATTATATCCAGGAGCCTGCACATGTGAGGCAAGTGGTTTACTAATGAGCTACACCTGCAACCCCCTCTGCAAGACTTCTTAGGGCCCTAGCTTAATATGCTAATGAGCACTGTTACTGTTCCAGAAGGATGCAGTATGCAGCACTTCCCACATTTTGGGGGCCTGCAATTTACCTTTTCATAAGCCAGCCTGGCAGGATTAGTGTTTCAGCGCAACGTATTTTGGAAAATGCTGCCTTACCATACTGGTTGGAGGGAATAGGGATGGAATTAAGTCACATTGAGTTTATATTTGTAATATTTGATTATGTCAACTTGAGTAAGAGGAGCTCAACTAAAACTGGCTCAGCAATTCTACAGCCTAGGGTAGGGAAGACCCTACCGTGTCGCCTGAGTATTATAAAGGGAAAAATGAAGAAGGACAGATCTCCTGATTCTTCAGAGGCATCCCGGTCTTCACCTTCACCTTGGACATCATTTCCTGGTTTCCAGGGCAGACTCTTCAGCTTCCAGCACAGCCTTTCATCGCAGACCCACTGGCCTCCTGATATGGACTCACACGGTACACTGCCGTGAGCTCCAGACTTTCACCTGAATCCTATGGTCTCCAGTGCGCAGACAGACCCTCTGCACTCTCTCTCATCAGATTCTGTGGGTGGCCACTGTAAGCCAGTCTTGTAAATTTATGTACGTTTTTATACCTTTTTTATTTATATCTTGTATTACATCCATTTCTCTAGGTAACACTGACTGATAAGTCTTAAGACCTGCTTTTAAACTGAGTCACACGGTCCACACCAATATAATGTTACTCATAAAAGATGATTCTTTATATTGTCTTTATAATGTGCCAAAATCATGAACAAAATTTAATATAATATGTGAGTTAGTTAACACTAATGACTACAGGTAATACTTTACATCTGTTAAAAACCATAGCATAAGCAGAGGGTACACATGGGAGATGCTCTTTGTATTTTTTCTGATTTTTCTACGGGGGCTAAGGCCAAAGTTTCAAGATTAAACCCAATAAGATATCATCATCTATGAAACTAAGCCACAACTGACACAACTGAGACTAAACAGAGTATCTTATAAAATATATAAAGTCAAATAAAGGCCATGAACTAATCAAAATTATCAGACACATACTAGTTAAATTCCTGAATTTCTTCTTGGCTTCTGCCCTTTCTTCAGCATCAAAGTACCAAACAGTCATGGCATATCTGTGAAGGTAAGCAGGTATAAGAAAAGATGAGCACCAAAAGAAAAAGCCAGGTTACTCTGAGTTTCCCAAAGTCATTTGGAAAAACCAACATTTAAAAGTTTTACCTATTATTAGAAGTCCATCCCACTTTTAATTTAAAATTGATTTATCTGGTTTCATTTCTGTTTAAAATGCAATAAAACACGAAAGGATTTCCAAGTATGTGCCAGGCATTATCCTAAGAACTGAGAATTGAAATGATTCTTTGAACAGAGCTTCCTCAAGAAGCTCAGGCTCTAGCAGGGAGGGCAAGTGATTTAGCAGATAAGGCAACAAGTTAAAATAGCCAACAGAGGAAAAAACTAAAAGGGAGTCATTCTGCTAAACACTGCCAGACTCGAGGTGGTGGGGAGACAACAGAGGAAAGGAGAAGACATTTGAAGAACAATTTATTTAAATCACAGGATACTTAAAACTCTTGGATTGCTTTCTGTAGTTTTGGATGTAGGAGCAAAGATACAATGAATAATGATGCCCTCAAGCTTTCTACTATATTCCAAGTAATCTGCTTTATCCTATCCATGAGACACTGAAAGAGGGGCCATTTCATGCTAATGTTTTTAAAAGTTTCCCTTTATAATTATTATAACCATAATGATTTCTGTAGCACTTGATCATACTCGCCCAAGGGCTTTTCATCAACATTCACTGTTTTGTTTTGTTTTTTTTCTGTTAAGTCACTCACTGTGGGACTAGGAAATAACCAGAGAATTCTGCCACAAAAGACAAGGTCCAAATACTGTGTGCCCTATAAAACAAGCCACAAGAAAAAACAAAAAGGACAAGCCATAAGAAAAACTTCGGTGGTAGCTTTGGTTACCTGCTCATCCAGAGCACATTCCAGTTTAGCATTAATATTTAACTCTGGGGCTCAGATGGGTGATTTCTGGAGGGGGATACATGTAAGTTTTAATCAGATTAGGTTGGTTAACGTTTAATGATCATCCTACCAAAGCCCTCTCCCCTGACCTTCAAGTGCTATACCGGAGGATACAAATTGTATTCTGCATTACTCCAGTATCGCCTGGTTTAGAACTTAGGCCATAGGACAAAAGGCAAATAAGAGGCAGAACAACAAATGAAGGTTTTTATCAAAAACTCCTAGATTAATGCTAAATAATATTAAGTCGCTCACTTGAAAATCTTCATATCTATGTTCTATTAAAAAAAAATCAAACATCTAATTATTAAGACCTAGATACAACTAGCCCAAGCCAATTTCAAGCTAACAAAAGGGCAATGTTATGGCTTGTATCTATCTAGACGTCCCTTCAAGCCTCATGTGGTCGTAGGTGGGGAATTTTTGAAGGTGGCTGGAGCCATGGTTTGTGCTGCTGTGATCAAGGACAAGACCCTGGGATTGATTCACATCTTGATGCTAGGATTAAGAGTGTGAATGATAAGATACAAGGAACAAAAAGAGCTGTGGTCCTGTCTTGTCACTTGTGGCTTATTGTTACTACTGCTTGTCTTTTGCTGTGCAATGCCCCTCTGCCATCCACTATGCCTTAGAACCAGCCGATTGTGGACAAAAACCTCTACAAACTGTGACCCAAAATAAACCTTTCTTCCTTTAACTTTGGGTGTTGGGTATTTTGTTCCAAAAACAAGAAAACTGACAGGCAAATAAGAAAAAGAAATCAGAACAAATTACTTTCCTTTACCCATTTGCAACTGGCAACTTGTAAATTCATCTAAAGTAACCGCACAGAATTCTAGGTATGTAGATAGCTAACCTTCTCTAGAAGTAGTTTAATAGACTTTTTGAAAGAGGGGCTGAGAGAACAATAAAATGCTCTGAGAAATCTGCAACCCAATATGCTCACTTAACAGAAAATAATTTGTTAATAAGTATTTCAACTGAAGTTAGATTTACAAACCAAATATCCAAAGTATCTCCTGTATTTTTTTTGTCACTCCAAACAAGTTTATCTCCCACTTCAGGGTGTGATCAGCTCCCCATATACACAAAATACAAGTCTAGGGTTCTCTGGGAATTGGGGTATGTAAACACGCTCTCAGAGAGGAATCATGGTCCGTGCTATTACCTGGTTGCATAGGAAGGCTGGACTTCATGTGGGTTCCTGCGGTCTGACCAGAAGAACAAGAGTCTGTCAAAAATGGGTTCCACATCTGCAATGAATGATTTCCCTTCTGGAAATATTCGCAGGACCCCACCGTGCAGCTGAGGGCCAAAAAGAAGGTAGATTATTTCCTGGCTTCACATACAGTTTGTCAATAAGGATACTTTGGCTTCATCTGGAAACAATGCCACTTGTAACCTCTACTCCAAAAGTATGCTTTACCCTCAAATCTTTACTTCAATTTGGTATTTTGTACCCAATTGTATTTCACACCTAACTAGAGATTATCTTCTTATTCACCTCATCAAACAAAGCCGTTCCCACAACCATGAAGCCCACTATACAGAATTGCCAATATTGGGTTTTAACCTTAAAAAAAAAAAAAGAAAAAAAAAAAAAACCTAGCAATTTTACTGGCTCTATTTAACAGCTTCCTAAGACGCTCATCACATGTAACTTCCCCTTCAATTAGAATTTATAGCTTTTTTTTCTTTTTGGTATTGGGGATTGAACTTGGGCCCTTGCGCTTGCAAGGCAGGCGGCGGAACCACTGAGCCAAATCCCCGGCTAGAATTTACAGCTTTCTTCTGAACACTCAATCCTAACTGATCTCATTAGTTGAACATTATATGCTCTTTTTCTAAACTCTCAGCCCTCACCTTATTGGTGCCTTTTATGACATACATCTCTCTTGAACTACTTTTTTTTTTTTTTTTTAACAAATATATCCAATCTGTCCTACGACAATAACTATATTTTGGGTGGAACCCAGGCCTCACACATCAGTATTTCCCCACAGCTCAATGCCTAACACTAGCAGGAACTCAAATATTTGTTGATTTCATACTTCGCAATTTAGTGTTATTGACCTGATAACTTTGCCCATTATAGCACCCCTAAGGATTTTAAAAGAGAACTAATGGGTGTATTCCAGTCATGTTACCAAACAAGAGATAAGCCTTTCCACTGATTCACTGGTTTCCCAGGTCTTGTTTTCTGACCCCAGATAAAACATCATTGCTTTATGACAGCCAGAGTCTGCCCTAATGAACAGGAAATGGAGATGTAGAAGGTTCAAAAGCCAAATAAGCTTGAAGAGTTCTCTGACTTCCCAGACTCCTAAATCATTCGCAACTTTCAGAGAGAGCATACAAAGTCCAGACAAATGTTTATTGGTGTGGAACCAGACTTTGTATCGCTATCTATATTCTCTCTAATACAAAAATAAGCCACAAAGCCTTTGGCATTCACAAACCATAGTAAGCCATGGCAACTGGCCACCAGTGAGACGAATCACCCTGAGAAAGAGGACTGTGTGGGAAATCTTTCTGGGAGATGGCTTTATATCCCTATAGTTCTATTTCTGTGACATTCTCTTAAATGTTGTTGTTGGAAGGGAGAAACGTACATCCTATCCTGCAATGGAAGTCATATCAGCCCTGAATTAGACTTAAAAAATTATTCCTAATCCTAATATCAAGTTACTTTCCCTTAATCAATCACTCCCACCTCATCCTAATAATCACCCTACCTACACATCTCTAAATTAACTTTGTATCCATTATGTTTTTATTTCATCAATTTTACTACTAATTTTATAGGTAAGGGGAAGGAAAAAATCTAAAACAGAAATACAAAAGATTCATTATGAAAACAAGACTATCAGGAACTCAAAACTTTCTCCTAGGTTATCTGAATTGTTTTCCTAGTTGGAAGGTACATGTTCTTTTTTTCAGAACTCTCAGCCACCTTATCTGTACCTCGTAGGACACAACCCAAACATATACCCTCATTATTCCCAAGTACCTTGGCATCCCAGTTCTTGTTCAGATAATAGATGCAGGTGATGCAGCGGCCGTCACCATTGGGGTTGTCCACATGGCGAACATAACCTGTTCCATTTCCTGGATAGCAAGCCACCATTGCCTACAGAGAAATCCCAAGAAAGCTGGTTAACAAAGCTGATACAATCTTCACCTCTTACTGTGTTTTTTGTTTTGTTTTTTGGTACTGGGGATCAAACTCAGGACCTTGCGCTTGCAAGGCAGACAGTGGAACCACTGAGCTAACTTACTGTGGAACACAGAAGGAAGTCTTCTTGCATGCTATGGACATTTATGTACCTGCTGGCTTCTTAATTACATACAGTACATAAATTCAAACTATTAAAACAACATTCAGGGACTGGGAATTTAGCTCAGTGTTTCCACTGCCTGCTTTGCAAGTACAAGGTCCCCAGTTCGATCCCCAGTACAAAACAACAACAACAAAAACATATTCACATAAATTAAGATTTATAGGCAGGTCATTCCCTATGGTTTAGCTCAGTGGAAAGTGGTTCAATATTCCCATGGTTCTAGAACATTTTAGACAGTCTTTCTTAAAGTATTAAGATGCTCTGCCTTTGTCTCTTTTTTTTTAAGCAGTACTGAGGACAGAACCAGGGCCTTTGGACTGACTAAATCTCTAAGACTTTTTTTTGAGACAGGGTCTTATTAAGTCACTAAGTTACCCAGGCTGGGCAAACTTATGACCCCCCCCCCGCCTTAGCCTCCCAGGGAGCTGGGACTACAGGCTTGTGCCACCACACCCAACATCCTTCTTTAATACTTCTTTTGGAAAAGCAGTTTCTGGGTTTCTATTCTAGAACCACCAAATCAGAATCACTAGGTGTGGAAGTGTCCAGAATTGTGGACTCACACTGTCTTATTTACAAAGAGACAGATACAATCACAAGTAAGGTAGGCCTTACTCAAAACACCCAGGGCAGAAAGGAGAGAGAAGATTCAGTCAGAAGCTATGCTCTAACTCGATAGCACAAACTGCGGGAAATCCCTTTCAGGGAAAAGCTACATGGATCTCAAGAGGTGATCTTTAATGCTTGTTTTCTTCCTGCCTGATAATTATCAAGTCCGACGACAATCTGAAGTTCTCTTGCTTTGTCTAAGTGCTACCTGTATGAACCAGGTGACATAAGGAAACAAATCCACATTTTAAAATTGCATTGAATTTTTTTTCTTTTTATTTTGGTACCGGGAATCAAACTAGGGCCCTTGTGCTTGTGAGGCAGATGGCAGAACCACTGAGCTAAATCCCCGGCTGAAAAATAATATTTGATAATTATGATTAGATAATAATAATGGTCCCTGGAAAGAAATTATAATAGAAAATAGGAAAAAGAGCAAAACACAAAAAGCCTTTTCTTTATAGGACACAGCTATATTTTTAAAAATACTCTTTAGGCCTGGGATTTGGCACAGAGGTTCCACTGCCTGCTTCTCAAGCACAAGGACTCAAGTTCAATCCCCGGTACCAAAAATAAACAAACAAACAAACGAATAAAAATACTTTTTAAGGATTCTATATGCCCAAAGAAAATACTGGAATTGGTACCATCAAATGAGAGCAGGGAATGCTTTGCCTGTTCTGGTCACGATGTATTCTTGGCACCTAGGTCAGTGCTTGACTTATAGAAGGTGTCCATTGAAAATGTGATGGATAAATCAATAAATGACTCGTTCTCTAAAATGTCAGTTCACATCCTACCTAGATCAATAGCTCTTTCTGCCATTAAAAAAAAAAAATCTATCTTTAAGTATACAATGGGAATCCAGGTCGTAATACTTCCTGATGAATGGCAGGCTTACTTCATTGCTAAAATGACTAGTTGGGTACAGACCCAAACTAATGCGCTAACAGTTCAATAAATCACCCTTAATGTAACCATTATCACTGCCCACAGCAGCCTGAAAGCATGGTCCTAGGCAACATACTACTAGGATAAGGATGAATGGTAACCTGGCTTTACAATAATCATAATGTTTTTATCACTATATCTCTCAACACTCTAAATCCCCATCACCTAACAATAAGCAGCATATCCTACCTTGAAATTGGCATTGCAATGTCATTCCTTGGAGTGCTAGTGTAAAACAGCTTTCTGAAAGTGGAATTTTGAGGTAACAGCAATAAAGTTTTAAAAGCTGAGGATGGCTACTAACAAGCAGAGGATGGCTTGGAGAAATGTGATTGGCAGCATACAGAAATGATAGGCCTACCTGGAGAAGAAGAGATAAATGAAGTCATCTGTAACAAGTAGGGAATTGCCCATCCCTAGAAGCAGCTATGTTTATAAGAGTCACCACTAAGTCAATAATGTAAGGCACTCTGACCACAAACAACTACTGGCTGCATTCCCCACCATCTCAGCCTTCTCCCAGTATTGGCATCTAAAAAGAAAAACATTCCATCAACACTATAACTTTATATTCTTAAGCAGCTCTACTCTTACGGAAAAGGTCAGAGAACTGGATGCCTGCCATTTAGTTCACTCTACAACTAATTGTGTGATTCTGGACTCAGTGTCTTCCCTATAAAGAGGGCTTGGGTTTCATGGCCTCTGACATCCAAGAAAAACTGAGTTAATCTAAGCATCAACCCCAGAAAAGCAATGAGTACTTTCTCAAGGTATTGTGAACTGCTTATTTGCCTCAGAACTCAGCTTAGATTACAATATTGGAGAAAAATACTTCCTAAAAGTACGTCCTCTAGTAACTGCTACTTGTATAAAACAGATGAAAAGCTAGCACAATTCTAAAGAACTATTTGGTCAAAAGCCCCTAAACATAAGCAAAGTATCTCACTGCTTAAGAAAAAGAGATCATTTTTCTTAATATTCACCCTCTCTCCTAGTTGCAGAAGCCATCAGGTTTGAAACAATAGAAGGAAATCATTGCCAGCCTCAGTGGGCCTGTTGAGACTGTATTGGCCAATGGCATCAGTGAGTTTTCTGAATGAACGCCACAGGATATGGGTCTTGGCTTGGGCACATTCCCAACTCTTTGCTACTCTTTAACAGGGTCTGAAACTATGAGGAGAAGGATACACTGAGAAGCAAACATCAACTAATAAACAACTAGCCATTTACTTTTGTGCCAATTTGTGCACGGGGCAGAACAAACTCAGGAAATTGATCATTTCAGTGGGAGCTGTTATGTAAGCCTCATCAAGCCTCGGAAGGGTTCTAGAGTGTTTAATGGAAGAAAATATTTCACTGCTTTATTGTTAAAGAGCAGAGACGGAGTACTTAGGCAACAAACATGCCAAGCGATAATGACACATATCGTGAGATGACTTCTTTATTATAGGCTTTTCATTTATTAAAACTTCCGGACTGGATTAAAATGTGAAATTTACATAACTTTGATAACACATTCGTGTCACCCGCAGTAGCACACACAGTGTAGGCCTGCTGTTCCATTCTTGGACATGCTGATGAATCCACGTGGCTCCTGTGCCTTGCCATTCCTGCTCCTCCCCTTCCCCCATCCCCAGAGTCCCTCCATAGTGCTGCAGCCCACAGGAAATGAGAGGAAGGGCTAACCAGGTGTTCCGGGGCTGGCTCTAGACCAGAGATGTGTGCTCTACACCTACCTATGCAGCTGTATTCAAGCAGGAAATGTGTGTATTGTTTGAAAAATGTACACAGACATACAGAACAATAACAACGAAATCCAAGTATCAAAATCTGCTCCCAAAACTCACTGGTAGGAGAGGAAACAGAGGTTCTGTTAGAGTTGTCCATGCGCTAACTACATAAAGAGACTGTATCTCATCAAATCCAAAGGTAAGGTTGAAAAATAAAAGTCTAGGATTTTCAATCCAATGCCTAAACAAAATGTTCCTGAATGCAATCAACTACAACTTGAATGTATGTATAAATCATTTCTCAAGATTGGTATCAGCAACCTTCACTGCCCATTCAGCAACGGTGATCATTTTTCAGACTTCATAGGTGGGAAAGGGATACATCCACCCTCCTCTGGTTAGACTTACTACACTTCTAATAAATCAAACCAGGGACCAGGGTATAGCTATAGTGCAACAGCACTCACCTAGCCTGTATGGAAGGTCCTGGGTTTGATCCCCAGGCACACAAAAAAAGGAAAAAAAATTACATCATGATGTTTGTGTTACAATGCTTAGGACTCTGGAGTAAAATTCACTAGTACAACCTGATCTTGAACAAGTTACAGTAAAGAGGCACTTTATACAAATTTTAACTTAGCAAATGAAAATATTCATCATTTCACTTTGCAAAATTTGCAATAACTGAAAATCCATTGTTTAAAAATCAGTAGCATAACTTCAAAGCAATTTGACTGAATGATCTTTAAACTAGAATTTGACTTCCTAACATATGCTAGAACCCTCTAGCTGCTAAACAGAAATACTAACCAGCCTGTTAAGGATTTGTTTTGAGTTGAGGATGGTCTTGTACGGAGCATGCTTTGAATAGAACACAACCTGAGTAGAGGACAATCTGAATTAAATCTCTTTACATCTCAGTTTGCTAATCTGTAAAAAGGGGCTCATAAAAACTACAGGATAAATCCACGTAAATGCTTAGCATAAGGCCCAGCATACACTATGCATACATAACAAATGTAAGCTGTTTTTCAGGTTGACAACTACACATTTGTCACCTTATCCAGGGCTGCAGAAATGTCTCTCCTCCAAAGATCCAATTCTATTGAAATTCTTTGCAGCTGCAAATTCAGGGCTGACAAACTTAACAGCTTTTGACCCTTGCCTATAACACACATGACCAAAACCATCAGGTAAACATGGATTAGGACTCTGAAGGGTGTGCTACGCCACCAACAGTATGGAATCTGCTGTCATGTGCAATGAAAGGCTTCAGATTTCATGAGAACAACAAGTAATTCTATTTGTTTGTAAACACTCCTTAATGTTGTTGATCCCAACTTTTTAATCAAGGCCACAAAAGAAATACATCACACTGTGATTTGAGACCACTTCTTGTCTGTGGACAGACTTCCAAGAAAGCAAGCTTCAAGATAGCTCCCAAGCCACAAGTGGGGTCCTTTCCCATCTTCCTTCCACCAGGCTCAGACATCCAGTCA